AACTTCAAACTCATATCTGCAGTGGAAAAAAGCTTGCTAAAAATTGTCCAAGCATATTAACCGTTTTATGAAATGGCCTAAATCCAAGATTATGATTTGTCGGCCTGTTCTATATCCTGCCCTGACAGTGGCTTTTCCGGCCCTGGGGGTGAACCTCTGCAGCAGATGTGAGTGTAACTTTATGAAGTTCATTAGTGACTTGATCTGAAGGTTTAATGAGGCTGCAGGAGCGCTGGCCAGTGTGACAGATGGCACAAGGTAAGATCCACACGCCCAGTCTGCACAAATGAACCGCCTGCATTGGCTGCATTTAGCTTTTCAAACATTGTGATGCTCAGACCAAAGGCTGGCAGTAACGATTCACATATTTGGCTCCAACAGGGTTAAAGTAAATTATAGTTTGCACACAATTTTAGAATAGTACTCACTGTCTTTATGGGTGTCATTTATTATAGATTTTTTTTTTAGATCTTACTCCCAGCGCGATTTCAGAGTTAACTTTAACTTAAGTATAGTATGTATATATTGTTGTTTACTGAGCTATGTACAGTAAATGTAATGATTGAATTTCATTCTCTTCATTCCTGTGACACAACACTGAAAAAAGAAATAAGGATCTCCAAATCATAATCATTTTAAGCTGATAGTCAAGAAAATAATTTATCGATGAAAAAAAACATATAAGATGTTTTTAGGTCCTGGATTTGAATCCCGGACGGAAATCTCTGGTTTCCACTACCACTAAAGACATGTACATTATGCACTGTCCTCCAGTGTCAGTGGTCCTAGTCAAGCTGAGCATCAACATCTGGAGATGGGTATTATGAAAATGGATATTGTGAAAATGGATAACTTCTAATACAAAACAGTTTTGTATTAATTCATGTTTAAAAGCCCTCTTTTCAAGAGTCCCAACAGTTTTGTTTAAATGATCCTGTGATCGTGTGTTCAGTGCCAGAGTTCCAGTAGAACAACCATGTTATAACTAGACCGTTTTTCAAAAAGTCATTATACAACATTATACAATGTTGTTTTCTTATATAATGATGTTTTAAAACAATATGTCATATACTACATCTTGTCTATGTAACCGTTATTATGTGCTCTGAACGTAAGTCTGACCTGTCCATTGCGACTGACCTCTCTACATTTGCTCATGAAGTCATTTTGGCCCGGGTCACACTGTTTGTGTTCCTTAATGACCTGTAATTCCCGATCAGTGCATCTCTGGCGTGGGCCGCAGCCAGCAGGAGCAGTGGCAGGCTGCCATCCAGAACAGGTGCTCGTCATGTCGGGCGTATGCTGTCCGTAGACCTCAATTACATCCTTTAGGACCATTTAAACCAGGGCACTTTGCCGGCTGCAGAGGTGGGCTTGGACTCCCACCTTTATGGTAATCAGAGGGAGATGCACTTTACAGGAGGACCGAACACAACTGCAGTTTGTAGATATGACCTGCACTAGGACTATAAACTCGTACTGTTATAGTCACTTTTGTTTTAATTGTACATAATACATCTTGCACAAAAGTGTGTTTGCACATTCACTGTTTGCACATTTTTGTCTTTATGCAAACCCTGAGTGATTATATTTATGTCAAAGCTACACACACCAATGTATCCACTGTGAGATCCATAAAGTCTATCTTATCTTATATGTTTTTTGGCAGTTTATACATTCTACATATACATGTAAAACATTTAAAACAGCTCTGCTTGTGTACAAGTCTCTCCATGGCCTCGCACCAAAATATATTAGTGACATGTTAGTCCCATATGAACCAGCCCGGACTCTGAGGAGCACAGGGACTGGACTCCTGTTAGTGCCAGAGTCAGAACTAAACATGGGGAGGCTGCTTTTCAGATTCATGCTGCTGAAATCTGGAACAGTCTTCCTGAAGATGTGAGACAGGCCTCCTCAATGACAATGTTTAAAACCAGGTTAAAAACAGTTCTGTTTAGCTGTGCATACAACAGAGGGATTTTAAATTGTTCTTTATTTTTAATGTACTGTGATTATTTATGATTTTAATGCAATTTTGTCTTGTTCAGCACTTTCAGTTGCCTTGTGTATGAATTGTGCTATACAAATAAACTTGCCTTGCCTTGCCTTTTTTTTCCTTTACACAGATCAATAGTCCTATAGTGCCTTTGCAGAAAAACAGCCCCAAAGCCGGATGTTTCCACCCCCATTCCCAGACCCCCAAGTCAGGGTATACCTATGATGAAAATTACAGATTCTTTTTATTTTATTTTTTCTCAATCACTGTAAAAATTGTTAAGCGTGACTTGCCTATACTGTACAGTTTCAGTCGTCCGCTCTGACAGCTCCTCTTCGCCGCACTGGTCAGAATCCCCCGTGCTCCACAACACCTTCTGCCTGTGATCTCCGTCAGCAAGGAGTCAACTCTCTCATATCAATGGCCTGTCGTCTGGCAACATGGCATCGTCCCCTTTGAAGATACAGGAGCATTGTTGCAGCGGCTCAGATGTGCAACGTGCCGCTTTTATCGTCCTGTTTTGGGCGAGTGCGGGAGAGGAGTTGGAGATGAAGATTTCTTTTTAACTTGGACCCACCAAAGTAGAAAGAGTGGTTGGCAGGTGGGAGGGAGATAGACTGCTGGGTCAAACGCTGGAGAATTATGAGGCGGTTTGTAAGGCTTGAAAAAGATTGTGCAGATCAATGGTGGAAAAGGCCTTTGAGCACGGACAAAAAGTGGAGGTGCCATTATTATTAAAATGCATGTGGCAAAAGCTGAATTAAAATCTAAAATGAATACAACTTTTTCATATGTTCTTGGGTGATGGCAGGCCCTCCTTGAAGTCCACCTTTAAGAACTGTATGACATTCTTTCAAGTTCCTATGTACTACGAGATTTCAATTGTGTTCTGCTTTCCATTAAGAATAAATTCCACCGCTTTTAAATGAAAAGTCTGCGGGAAAATAATGATAACTATGCACCTTTGACAACATCAGCATCCAGGCACCATCTCAAAGATCTACATTCCTGTGTTTCTATCATCCGAGTATGTTTTCAGCTTTTGCACATATGAGCTAATAGGCTAAGATCTTGACTTTGGTTAGCAGCGACTGAATCATGATATACTGCCACCAGAATTTTCACATCTTTAAATTCATTTTCTTCCGTGAAGCCATGGAAGCAGCAGTACAGGATGTTCAGACTGGGCCCCAGCCACCCGAAAGACAGTCAGTGTGTCCTGGGTTTATCTGGGTCTTTCCCCCAGTCGGACATGGGGCAGGCAGGCATCCAGGCAACAGGAAAAACAGGTGCCAATATATAATTAACTAGAAAACGGCGATTCAATTCAGACAATTGAAGGAATAATTTGCAGAAACATATGCAACATTACACTCTAAAAACACATTTTATTTAAACTGATATTGGTTACATTGACCAAATCTCCTGCTTTGATTGGTTGAAGACACTAGTATTTATAGATTATTTGTCTTAACTAAAACATCAGTTGGACACTTTGCTGTTAACTACAATTCATAAAATGTAATCTGTGTAACAAAAGATATTTATTGGTCTATTTATTGTAATTGTTGCATGTTGTATTTCACTATAGAAAGGTTAACAGTCCCAGTCGACTCCTCAGCCTGTAGTGCCTATGTCCTCCATACTGCAGCATATGCAGTGACTTCATAGCAATTATTTGATATTAACTGATCACCATTTGCATAATTGTATTGTATTTTAGAGGATACCATATTAAATGCCATCCATATTTCCACCTAATTCACCAGTAGTTGACCTCAGAACTGGTAATGACATCTCTTGCATTGTGGTAATGAGTGCAGCATTAGCTCCGCCCACAGTAAATGTATAGGACAATCACAGTGATGAGTAATTGTGAGGTTAATCGGGTTGAAAGGTGAACCCTGAGGCACCGCAGAATAAGACAATAAGCAATTAACACAGTAATATGTGAGCTGTTGTTTTTAATGTAGCTGACCTAATATAGATAGTAATGTAGATTTATTTCCTCCATATTCTCAAAACAAAATAACAAAATATAACATATATTCCTAAATATACATACGTAAAACACATCCAAAACTCAATGATGACCTTTACAAATTATAACAATATCACAGTTGAATGCCTCACAACATGATTGTTTTCAATGTATAAATTGCAAAAACTAATTTTTACAGCTTTAATTGAATGTGCACAATTACATATGCATTTGTTGTGGTGCTCCTCGGTTTAATGTCTCATTAAACTCTGTTTTTCATAAGTTTGGTTACTGCTCAAAATTGTATAGGAAAACTTTTTTTCTTTCGGAATTTCCACAAAATAACTTGAGATTTGACCTGATGTATTCTCCATGTCTCCACATGTTTTGTTGTTGCCATGTATGCTATCATAACTCTTCTGCTTCAATGGAAAACAGGCCTACATGATTGTACTTTACACCATAAATGGAACGAATGGACATTAGCCCCTCCCATGGTGCATTCAGCCACGCCCACATACTTTTCCATGATCATCACATTTGGACACTGGGCTGTCACAGTCAGCTTCAAGAGTAAAAGCCCTCTGCAGACACACGAAATACAGCAGACCCAGCATACTACTGCCATAATGCATATTGGAATTGCTTATGGAGACCGGAAGTCCAGTTAATATCAATTTAGTTTCAGTTGCAGCGGCTAACACAAGAGAAGAAGGTTGTGCACTTGATTATTGCATTTGTGAGGGTTTCCACTGCATTAGTAAGATTGTTAAGCGAATGTGAAAAGTTCAATATATCTAAAAAAAGATTGTTTAGGATGATTATCGAATATATTCTTATAAATGGACTATAATCAAAATCATGATGCAAGAATTTGATGATTAAGATGACAAAAATGTATGAGAACCATTTAAATAAAAAATGCTTTGCCAACTCGTCAGCCCTGAGCTTTAAGGCCAATATGCTCAAATACACTCTTCCTCTGATTGACTTTGAACAAAGCAGAAACATCAATGATCTTTACCCCAAATTATCAAACGTCTGAAAAACACAAATCCCTGCCCGCCACAGGGGCATCGCTCCTCCATTAGCCTTGGCCCCGCGCCGGCTGCCAACATCGGTGAGGGGCCCCAACCGGGACTGGCCCCTGTGTCAGTCACTGTGTCACATGTCACAAAGCCATTGGCCCTGCATCAATCCACAGACCTAAGCACCTCTCGGCAGATGGATCCCCAGCACGACTGCATGTGGGGGGCTGCCCTGAGCCCCTGCCCCACACAGAGTCCACACGGCGGGACTAAGTGAGGCCAGTCCTGCAGGGAGGCCCCCAAACCAGCACTGGACCTCATGTGGATAAACCTCTGGATCAAGTCCTAATGCTGCCCGTGATTAATGAGGAGTTAATGTAAATATGGGCTTGTGCTTTGTAGCTTCAGCAAATTGGTTTAAAGGAGAAATATTATACAATGTTTTTGACCATTAAAAAGGACATTGAGACTATTGATCTTGTCATTTCCTATTTTAGAATGAGAACTACAATCTTTCATAGAAACTGTATTAAAGCCAAGCATCAATGGTAAACAATCTGCCTGCTCTACCCATAACCTACCACCAGAGGGAGGTCTAGAATGTTTTTTTTTTTTTTTTTTTTTCCCAACTTAGAAAAAATAATCACTGCAAAGAATGTATTTTCAGGTGAGAAATTGCTAAAGCTGATTTATGGGAAGCACATTCCATTGAAGTGTGATGTCATAGTGGTACAATGGCGTCATACTCTCCCAGGATGGAGACAGGAGCTTTTAAACAGAAGGGGTGGAGTTACATATTTGTGCCAGAAGTTATTGATATTATTGTGGATGGATATAAAAATAACTCCCGTGTCTGTGACTGTTCTAAGGTAACAATATTGAAAAACACAACAGATTTGCATGAGATGTTTGCAGTACATACATATATAGTAACTGCAGCATATCATAATAATATGTTTTTTGCTTCCAATGCGGCTTAAGAACAGTTATTTGATATTGTCAAGACACAATTTCAATTTAAACCATGTGTGTTTGTAATTTCCCTGCTGTGGGACTAATAAAGGCACCATTCATTCATTCCCTTTATATAACAAACGCTTGTACTCTGATCTTTTCTTCTTCTATTGTTCATGTGCAGTTACTCCTTTATCTTGCATTGCTTTGTGGTCAAACGTTTATTTGTGGTATGCATTTCCAGTATATCAAGTTTGTGACTAGATACAAGATGCAGTTTGAAAAGAAAAATACACAGAAAGTCATTTTGAGGAAGGCACCCCAATGCTTTGTGTGGGCAATTTACAAACACATTATCTGAAAGTTTAAACAGGCATGAAATGTGCTGTCCTATATTTATGCTTTTTCTTAGGAGAAAAGCTTTGGCCCCTTTTTGTATTTTGTCTGAATGCAATAAACTTCTACCGCGGCCCTATTAAAGGTGGGGTACCTAACTTTTTTCCATTGATAAAGCTGATCTATTTGTGACAGAGGGCAAGACCACATTCATAAAGAAACTAGAGATAGAACTAAACTGTTTTAAGAGAGGAGAACACTTATTAGTTGAAAATTAGGTTCCCCAGCTCTAAGTTGAATTATACACTTCACTTAGTTAAATAATAAAGGTATTAACAATGCGTGAGGTCTGATGATGATAAAAAACTGACAGAAAAAAAAGCTGCAGGGGAAATGAAACCTAGTTGTTTTGTTTGGCTCAGGTGAAGACACTTATCTCAATCAATAAATAAATCAGAACTAACTGTGAATTGTTTAAGGTTTTTTTCCCATCCATATTCTTTTCTGATTAAGAAGTAGCAGTATATGGATTTATGAATATATAGCTACAACGGAAGTTATTGAAACTATTGAGACTTGACTCAATACCTGCAAACCATACACCTGTGCAATTATGATTTAATACAGCACTTGCAAGTAATATTAATATACAGAATGCTTGCTTTTTCTTCTTGTAAACCTAATCATTTTCTGATCTGTAGGAGACCACAAAAACAGTGTCATGAAGCAGTTATAATACAATTTGGCATGAGAGAAATATACATCACGTCAATTAAAAGACAATTTTCTAGCCATATTTGAGCAATCTATACCATAGTTTAAATCAGGGGTCTTCAACCTTTATTCAATCGGAGAGCTACTTTTATACAAAATAAGAGGCAGAGAGCTACTCATAATAAAAATCGATGCAAGAATTATGACAAAACATGGATAATACATACCATGATACTGTATAAACCTATTTATACTTAATGTAATTACTCAAAATGTATTCATTCAAGATCATTTATTCAATTCTAAATCCTTTGGCGAGCTACCTGAAAGGGGCTGGCGAGCTACTGGTAGCTCCCGAGCCACAGGTTGGAGACCCCTGGTTTAAATCTATACCATTGTTTGTGAATATAAAGTAATCTCATTTGACTACATTACAAGTACCATACCTTCGCAAAATGTAATTTGAGTGTTCCATCTTTGTTCCAAATCCTGAACACATACTATATAAAAAAAATCATAATTGTATGGACTTCAAAATCATAATTGTATGGATTTATAGATTATGTGTTGCAGTATCCGGGTCTGCAGGATCTGTCTTAATTTGAAATCGCATGATCCAACACGTTATTTCAATGAAAATACTTTACTATCGTCCGACTAAAGAAACATGTTATGCCTTTCAAAATATCTGAATGATTCTCTCCATGCCAAATGTGACATATCTTATCTTATCTTCACACAATCTCACTTTGGATTCGTTTCCAATAAAGTGACAACTAATTATCCTGCATTCTGTCACAAAAGAATAATCTTTACTGAAATTATGAAACAAAAAAGAATACAACAAATTCAAGAAAGATAACCACCATAATTGTTATCGAAACGTAAAGGAGAATTTTCAGGAATCTTAGTGTTTTCTTGAAGTGAATTTTAGTTACTTTTCAAATTAGCAACTAACTTTTTGAAGATAAACACTGGTTAGCGCCACCCACGCTCACACCCGCAGCTTCCTGATTGGTCGAAATGAAGTCAACTCCTTGAGGCCGTTCATCATTGGTTTAACTGTTCTCCTTCAGTAAATCTTGTTGTTTGTAGTTTTGCCTAAGGGGAAGTATTCAAAGTGTGTTATTGTTGAAAAATACTTAATGTTTGTGATAGTATAGTGCCCCATGGTCAGAAATGTACATTATTTTAAGTATGAAACATATTTTAAGTTTCTGATTTCACCTTTAAGACTAGCCTTGAAACTCCTGAAACGACTATACATGCATATCTACAAATAATTCTCACCAATCTGGCTAAAAATAGATTCTACTGATGCAAACATTTTCTTTTAAACTTAAAAACAACTTCAAACCACACACGTTTCTCATCATTTGATGTATTTAACGATCCTACTTTAGTCTCACATCTGCATTTATCTGTAACTGTCTAAAGATCTGAGTCAGGAAACTCATTAGCATAAAACTCCTTCTAGAATTGTAGTTTTGAGAATTGTAATGGTCTGTGTGGAATATGGCTTCCCTGAATTGGCATTTGTAATGATATTCATAAAAAGACTGCCTATTGGGGCCACACGGGTTCCTTAGCAACAACATACATGCTCTTACAAGTCGCATCTGGGGAAATTCGCTGTGGATTGGGACTGCAAACAAGAAAAGACCTTTAACTAGGCCAGAATGGAAGACAATGGCACAAATCCCCCCTACTTTGGTTACATGTGGGGCAACAAAGAAAAAAAACCTTGGTTCGAGGCCGTGCTTAATGCCAAATTTAAGTCCTATATTCCACAAACAATTATATCAAACTTTCATTTTACACCAATGCGTTTGTTAGAAGAAGTTTGTAATTGCTTTGTTAGGTTGGCATGGCTCATTGTCTGGCTTAAGATTAGAGACATATTTGGCATGATATATGTGTGCTTATAATAAAGTACATTACATTAACACTCAATCATAGCTGTATATACATTTACAGGCTAAACTCAGGCTCGGCTTTCTGGTATTTGGTGAAAAAAATGTATTAGATTATGCAATTAGCTAGACATCACAACATAATTAGTATTAACAAAATTGCTTTATTTTTAACAAAAAAAAGTCATTTGTGCAAAGAAGTTGTGGTCATATCTTGCCTAATTGGAATCATAATACTGAAAGAATTGATGTCCAAATGCAGTAGTTAAAAGTAAGACACTACTACACTCTAGTGGTGGCTGGGGGAATGGCAGGTTCACTAGTCTCATTACAGACTTACTGAAGTATACTCCTTTTGTATATCTCTGTTTGGAATGCATCAGAAAAAATATAGTGGTCAAATAGTTACTTTCTGAGTGTAAGGTAGTCAGTCATGGATTCTAGTGTAGCTGTATTATATCTTTATTTAGACAGAGAAGGCTCAATGAGAGTTCTGGGATGTAATTTTTTCATGGGTCGCCCCGAGTAAACACAACAACAACATGCACACATAAGCACAATAACAATAAGTTATTTAAAATATTTTCAGTTATTTTCATTCTGAAGCCAAATGAAATGTGAATGTAGCACCAGTATCCAATTTTGCAAAGGTTTGAAAATAATACTTTTGAAGGTATAGTTTTTGAGATGCCAAAGGTAATAGAAATATCTTCCTCATTAAAGCCCGAAGAAGCCTGCAGTCAGTGCCTAGGTTAGATATATTTTCAAACACCTTGAACCTTTAGATTTTTTAAACAATCATTCCTATTCTCAGATTCATTTATTTGCCATTTGCAATAAAACCACATTGGAATACATTTGCAAAAGTCCCCAGTGTGCACAAGACAAGTACATAAATAAATTCTACCGTGGTGAGTGTCACTCATTCAACTTTTGCATATCCATACATATATGTTCTTCCGCTTTATCCGTTACCAGGTTGGGGGCAGCAGTCTAAGAATTGTTGTCCAGACTCCTCTAACCACACATCCTTCCTTCAGCTCACCTGGGGGAGTCCCGAGGCGTTCTCAGGTCAGCTGAGAGAATATTTTCCCCAACGTGTGCTGGGTCTTCCCCAAGAAACAGATGCCTGCAAAAATGGCTCATCTCAACGTGGAGAAGCAGTGGCTCTAATTCGAGCTCCTCCCGTGTTGCTGAACTCCTCACCCTATCTCCGCCAGCTCATTCTGACTGCTTTGGCAATCTTATCTTTGCGGTCATTACTGTACATTACATTTTTAACAATTGACATAAATGAAACAGCTTTTTCAGAGCGTACTGCTGTCTTACCCATGTCTATTAATGCCTTTCAAGGAACTTATTTGAAATGTTCTCATTCAGTATTTTCACACATCTCTCCTCATGTTTGCATTTTCACACCCATATACTATTCCCCAACTTTTCATTGGTAATTAATCTTAATCTGAAGTTTCTGCAGGTTATGTGATGCATGTATATTGTCATAGTAATTGTGAGCTTAGAACAACAAAAGCTAGGTTTACAATAATAATGTATAAAAACAGTTCAGTCACCTGTGCATGTCTAACCCTCACAATAAACCAAGCCCTAAATTAGACCGGGGACATTGAAGTTTTCATTCAAAAGTTAGAAATGGATTTGTTTCAAGCGTGTTTAATCTACGTAATCAACTTTATGTTGCAGTCCTCTTTTCTTCTTGTTCGTGTTTTATAGATAAAAGAATAAATAAATAAAACAGGAGAACTTATATACGTCCAAAGTAGAGAAATGTCAATGTTCCAGCGCATATACAGGACAGTAGTGAGAGCACACAAAAAACACAATACAAGCAGCTGTAATGAATCTTAACCAGCTGTAAATGCTTCATAAGAGCAGTATGTAAATATCAATGTATCTACTGTATATACACAGTGTAAATCATAATCATATATGGCAGGACAATAAGTAGATAAATACTGCAGTGCAACACTTTATCATTTACAGATGACATGAACAGTCTGACAGCAGCAGGAAGGACCTGCAGAACCTATCCTTCACACAAAGAAATCTATAGTTATTATTAGTTATTATTATTGGCAAATACACAACAGGACATATCGGCTTTTGGTACAGAATTAAAAAACTCTGACTGGATATTATTGGTGATGCTGTGATAGAGACTGGTGTGAAGCTAATACTATGAGTCTCTGTGCTTGATGGTGCAGAGGGCGCCCCCTTTGGGCCTCAGCGTCCCTGTGTCCTGTATGTCCAGACACTGTCCTGGGACCAGAGTGAAGTCAAACCTCTGCAACAGCTTGGCCATCACCACTTTCGCCTCCATCTGAAAGTAGCATAAACATACGTAGGTTAAAATACTTACTCTATTCAGCACTTTGAGTTGCCTTGTGAATGAATGCACTGTGCTATACAAATAAACTTGCCTTGCCTTACCCTTTATATGGGCCATGTCTCCATTAATGGATTTTAAAGTATAAATGATAACGTAAGCATGCAAACACAATGTTATCTTCCATGTTTTTAGGAGTAACAAAAGAAATCAGTATGCAACAGAAACCACGCACTACCCAGAAATCAAACGTTTACTCTGGTGATTTTGGGAGACGCAAACAGGTTTGAAAGGCTAGAGACAGAAATAAAATAAATTCCCCGAACCACACAACTGTACAAGAGATGTAGAATCTGTGTAAAAGACATCTCATATTTGAAACCATATCCTACCCTGTTTCCCCAAATATCAAGCCTAAGGGGATGTACTAAAACAAAGTGTATTAATAGGGATAAACAGTATTGTACATAATATATAGCAACATATATAGGCAAGGCAAGGCAAGGCAAGGCAAGGCAAGGCAAGGCAAGGCAAGGCAAGTTTATTTGTATAGCACAATTCATACACAAGGCAACTCAAAGTGCTGAACAAAACAAGAAAGCATTAAAATCATAAATAATCACAGAACATAAAAAAAAAAGATAAAAATATAAAATCCCTCAGTTGTATGCACAGCTAAACAGAACCGTCTTTAACCTGGTTTTAAACATTGTCAGAGAGGAGGCCTGTCTCACATATAGTAGTGCTGTCAAACAAAAAATATATAAGTACAATTCATTGTATTAATGTCAATAATTAATTGCATATTTTCCCCTTGTTTAAATGTCCCTTGATTTGGTTTGAAAAGGGATTGGACAAAGCAAAAAGCTTGTATTCATCCTATCCCTCCCAAATGAAAGTATTTGGATTGTCTAATATAGGCTGCTCAATCTCTGCTTTCGTCGTTGTGTTTTAAAGTTTATAGAACTATTTAACATATCCATCCATCCATCCATCCATTTTCTTCCCCTTAATCCATTTCTGGGTCGGGGGGGTGGCAGTCAGAGCTGCACCCAGTTCACAGAGCACCAATACAACATAGTAAAAATGAATTACATTGTTATGACAAATAAAAACAAGCATGCATTCGTCATTACTCTGATGAAGACCTGTGCCGCTACCTTACTTTACTTTAGAATTTAAAGAAAATTGTTTTATCTCATGACAACAGACAAACAGTTCCAACCACTCAGAGGGCGCTTACCTCGGCAAAGTTCTTCCCGAGACAGGAGCGAGGACCAAGAGAAAAGGGGTAGTACGTGTAGTGAGGCCTGGGAAAAGAAGGGAAGGTTCATTATGGTATATAACGGTACTAACGTTTGTTTATAATTAATATTTTAAAAAACATATTGATTTAGATTTACTTGGGAGCATTTGGGTGAAATCTGTCTGGGTCAAACTTCAGAGGGTCCTTGAAGAATATCTCCAACCGACAGGCAGTGTAGGTGCTCAGCTAAATCAGACATAAACAACATTACATTACATAACAAACCATTTTAGAATTTCACTGATGCACAAGTGGAGAAATATGCCATTTCAAAAAATATATTCTTATGGTTGGTACTTGTCCAACTAAATGTCCACTTGATATAACAATGAGTGTGCTACTGCTCAAGTTGTCATGACCTTGGTTGAATCAAAATTTTCCATCGTAAATTTCTTCATTGTGAGATTGATAAATCTTATCTTAATTCCAATAAATATGATAATTTTTTCTCACCATACAATTCACCCCTCCTGGGACATGGATGCCATCGATCAACATGTCTTCAGCCAGTTCACGGGACGTCCCAACTATAGGGGGATACAACCTCAGGGTCTCTTTCAGCACCTAAGTGCACAAAGTGAACATTATCATCTCAAAGCATACTTAAAATACTTATTATTTTACTTATTCCTATCCTATATGGATTCCTTGCTCTGGTTCTGGTCGTAAATCAATGTTTAGATAAATACAGAGGATCTATAATGTAAGGCCTGGTTCCATTCCTTTAACAAACATACATCCAGATTATCCGGATCACCTCCAATATACAAGGCGAGAGTGCTATACACCGGCACGGTGGCTGAGTGGATAGCACTCTCGCCTCTCAGCAAGAAGGTCCTGGGTTCGAATCCCAGTCGGACCAGGGCCTTTCTGAGTGGAGTTTGCATGTTCTCCCCGTGTCTGCGTAGGTTTCCCCTACCACTAAAAATATGTACAATAGTTCTGGCATGTGCCTCCTGTACTGGCCCCTCCCATCTCTGTGTGGAGTGAGAGACAAGTGCCCAAAAATTAACAATTGTAAACCGCTTTGAGACTCAGATCTGCAGTGAAAAGGCGGTATATAAATAAAGATTACTACTACTTACTACTACAACAATGTGTCCCATGTCACTTATGCAAGTTTTACTGAAAATTCCTCAGAAATCCGCCCATTCGCTAATAATTTGGACTGCATGAACACACACTCACAGGAACACTGTCTGGCACACACACAAAAAAGAAAAAAATCTACTTGTAGAATCAGAAGACCAAATGAACCTTGTTGCACTACAGGGTCGAAGGCAGTGAAAATTTGGTTTGTTATGTGTATGGATGTACTATATTCAATGGATAGGGTATAGCTAGGTTAGCTCTTCAGCATGGTGGTGAACTTTTATCATATAAGACTTTTGCCTGGACTTTAGTGTCCGTTGTCATCTTGAACTTACTGAATTTTCTAATCCATTGGTTTTCCATAAATCCGCACATTTGAGCAAAAACTAATCTCTGCTCTGGGTAGTGCGTGCGCTGAGAATGAGCATCGCCGTCCGCAGTTAGCGCTAATGGGTCAGAACGCTCACATGTTACCCTGGTCTTGCAGAAGTAAAAAGACTGGACACATACTGTACCAAACCAAGAGACCAAGAGGCCAAAAAGGCTTTCTTCAGCGAATGTTTTTTGCATGTACGCCAAAGAGCACAGGGCATTAATTTGAATGGGCAGACGTCTTAGGTCTCAAGGGTTTTGTTTTGTCCTCTTAGCAATAACATTATCGACTGGTCACTTCTTTACCATAGTGAAAAAAGCCTTTAGTGGAGCAGTCATAGCAGCAATGTTCCCCAAAGTTTCACCTGTTTGCTTGATGAAGGCATAAAGCCGAAACGTCGCACTTCAAATAAATAATTTTTCATTTGCAAGTAAGACGGTGTGCGGGATTCTTTCTCTCTATCACCTGAGAGAGATATGTCAAATGTCCCAGATCTTCGTAGCTGATTTCTCTTTTCATACCGATGACGTCGTCCACCTCTTTTCTCACTCTGCATAAATACTGGAGATTAATTTGATTTAATTACAAGATTAAAAAACAAAACAATTTAATTACTTCTCTAAAATATCCGGGTGTCTGCCAAGTTCCATGACACAAAAAGCGAGTGTATTGGCTGTGGTCTCCTGCCCTGTAAAAAATAAATAATTGTGTTAATGGAAATCTTAAAAAATGGAAAAGTGAATAAAGGTTCTCACCAGCGATGAAGAAGGTCACAAAGTTGTCCACCATAAACTCTTCGTCCTCTTTGGTCATGCTTTCCTCTTTAGATGGAGTCGGCATCAAATCATAAATCAGTTACAATTAAAATGATACTAGTTCAAAATATGATTAAGGGGATAAAAATCAATGGATGGATGGAGTTTGAGGAGCACAGAAACTGGCCTCAAGCTTTTGAAGTTACACAATTGAAGTCATCCGACTTAAACTAGTCAAGTCTAAACATCTAGGAGCGCGTTGTGTTGAACTGTAAAATACTGTAAAATATAAACAACGCAGTGTGATTAAAGATCCAGATACCTTGTCCAGCAGATTTAATGATTTGTGTGAGGATGTCTTTGGGGACGTTCTCTCCATTTTCCATGGCGGTTTTCCTCTTGTTGATCCACTGAGCTCCAGTATGCCGCAGCAGCTTACAAGCTTCCCTGACTTCATTAATGAACGGCCAATTCTTAGGGAAGAACTGGAAGAGCACAGGATGTAAAAATGTAGTCAGAAGTAGGATTTTAGTTTGGTTCACAAATCTCAATATCATAAATACTGCACATACAGGTTTCCACGTAATTAGAATGTGTTTGAGTATGTCTGTGATAATGGGCTGTGTATTCTATTTAAGTGGAGTAGAAAGTGGACGTTCAAAAATGAAGCTGCTTTCTCCCACTATGCTCCTTGTAAATGGAAAATTCTGCCTGAAGATAATTTAGTAGTAAACCAAAGACTTTATTTTGTGTAGACTTACAAATGTGCTCTGCCTGATAAATGTCATTGTCTCTGCTAAGCACATTGAGCTGTCATTCATGTATGACATGTGATTTATAAAATAAATGCTTTCGAAACACACCGCAAATGTTGCATCTCGAATATGGTAGATCATTCCTCTCAGACACATCTCTACAGCTTTGGGGAAAGGAGAACTCTGTCTGAGCAGGTCCAAATTGACGCCGAACGCAGCCTGTAAAAAATAAGGATAGTCCAAATGTATTAAGTGAATTGAATCTTTATTATGATATATAAATAGATGTTACATTAGCAATAATATCCATGGCGACGCAGTTGAACAGATGTAACATATGGGCCTCTTTGTGGTTCTCAGCCTCCTCAGTCAGTTTGTCCATCAGCTTCTCTGCTCGCTCATTGAACGTGCCCATAAGACCTCTCAGATATCTGCATGAGGCAAACATCAACTCAAACAATTCACTAATGTGACACTCGTCAAAGTTCTTTAGACCATTTAATGATTCGAAAGTATATATTACAGTGGGGAAAAGAGTATGAAGTCAGCCACCATTTGTGCAAGTCCTCACACTTAAAAAAAAAAACAAAAGGATCTTTTTATTCTTTTCATGAAAATGCATATATTACAGTTCTCAAAGCATTTCTATGATGAGATGAATTAGATGAAACAGAAAACATTTGACCTCTGTCATTACCAACAAATAAAGTATTGAGATGGACTTTTGTTATTGAATACATAATTCCATAATTTGCAAACCAATTATTTTAACACATTACAGGCATCTCTCACCTTTCTAAGTGGGAGGACTTGCACATATGTTGGCTGTCTAAATATATTTTTGTCCCACTGTATATGTTGTAACTCACAGGCTACTGAAGGCTGGGTCCATGATCCGTCTCTGTTTGTACCATTGGTCATGGTCCATAGATGTCACCAAGCCATTCCCCAAAAACCTTCACAAAAATATGAAGGATGAATATGATGATGAATGATACAAACCCATCAAAATATTCCTCTTGAGTTTGCCTACATGTTTAAACATGTGTGAAGATAACAGCTGAGCAATTATGTATATTGATAAGGCTCTCTCAGCTTTCTAACAGTATCAGGCCCTGTTTATACTGAGACACTGCGCAGACGTTTCCAGGCTATTAACAGAAACGACCAGGCTCCTAATGCAAATTTCTCAGCGTTCACATGTGGTTGAAAAACGATGTAGTTCTAGCGCCCGGCCAGTAGTGGGCAGAGAAACTTTACAACACTCACACGACCCCCCAGCCCCGTGCCCAGCCCCCCCTCTCAGCAGTGTACTCACTTCCTGTGCCAGACCCTCAGAAAGTACCAACATCATTCTGCATTTTAACAGCAGCTGTGAAAATGGGAACTGAACCTAGAGCTTCGCGTGGTCTCGTTTGGACGAACGAAGGAGTAGAGTCTTCCTCTGTGCCGCGCTGGAAGCCCACGAAGCTAGTTAGTGCGCGCGGCGCCATTGTTGTTTATGTTTGTTCTCCGCTACTGCGCATGTCCAAATTTACGTGCGGGGAGCAGAGCTCCCTGCTGTGCAGCGTATCTGAGGCTGAGTTTACACAGAGACAATGTGGCAGTAAAACAGTATAGTTGGATGTCGGTTGCTACCAACCGTTCATACGGAGATTGTGTTCCAGGGGGGTGAAAACGTAAGTGTTCAGATCCAGCCTGCAGAGTGGGACAACTCAGAAACGCTGCACAGCGGGGAGCTCTTTCACACCAGCGAGAGGGGAAAGGTGTGAAATCCCCCTCTGCTCTGACCTGTGTTGCCAACTCCTCAGTAAGGAGGAGACGGGGGAGGGGCTCACGTTGAGGACAGCAGAACAATACGTGCTTCACGAGTCTCCAAAACACCAGATAAGTCGCCAAAACACCAGATAAGTCGCCAAAACACCAGATAAGTCGCCAATAACACCAGAAAAAGTCGCTAGATTTGTCGCTAGTCGCTTTTTTGAAAAAAAGTCGCTATAGGGGTCTGAAAAGTCGCTAAATCTAGCGACAAAGTCGCTAAGTTGGCAACACTGGCTCTGACCCCCACCTCCGCGCTGCTCTCCGCACGTAAATTTGGACATGCGCAGTAGCGGAGAACAAACAAAAACAACAATGGCGCCGCGCGCACTAACTAGCTTCGTGGGCTTCCAGCGCGGGACAGAGGATAATTCTACTCCTTCGTTCGTCCAAACGAGACCACGCGAAGCTCTAGGTTCAGTTCCCATGTTCACAGCTGCTGTTAAAATGCAGAATGATGTTGGTACTTTCTGAGGGTCTGGCACAGGAAGTGAATATACTGCCGGGAGGGGGGCTGGGGGTCGTGTGTCGTGTTGTAAAGTTTCTCTGCCCACTACTGGCCGGGCGCTAGAACTACATCGTTTTTCAACCTCATGTGAACGCTGAGAAATTTGCATTAGGAGCCTGATCGTTTCTGTTAATAGCCTGGAAACGTCTGCGCAGCGTCTCAGTATAAACAGGGCCTGAGTTGTCCCACTCTGCAGGCTGGATCTGAACACTTACGTTTTCACCCCCCTGGAACACAGTCTTTGTGTGAACGGTTGGTAGAAACCGACATCCAACTATACCGTTTTACTGCCACATTGTCTCCGTGTAAACTCAGCCTCAGTCTCACCACCTGTAATGCCTCTATCATCAATACTAACCATAAGTGCACAAATCTATTGTAGCTTCAATAAAATATGTAACAATATTTGGTCCCTATAGTATTTAGCTTAGTATGGGTACTAATGTAATGTTATTGTCAACCACACCTCACAGGTCTATCCATTTGACAAGTACCGGGAGTCTCATGTCAACCCCACCCTCCCACTCTGTAATCGAATTAAAAAGCACACCCTCCAATAGGAAAGTTGGCTTCTGAACCTTTAAATGTCAGCATGGACCGTCTAGCTCCCAATCTAATGTGTCAAATAGTAGCTTACAGGTCTCTTTATGCAAAAGATAAAAATGCTTTATGATAAGATGAAGACAGCTAGACTGATTCAAGGTATCTTGATCTTTAATTCACAGTAATTTACTTATATACCAATTTTTTAGTCGCCACTACATTTATTTAGCCTTTTTAAATGCACACGGTTGTGCGCGCGTGTGCGTGTTTGTGTGTGTCACCTTTCTCCAAACAAGTTGAACAGTCGTTTGTAGAGGAATTTGTCTTTGGAGTATTTTGAGGACATGAGGAGCTCCTGAATAGACAAGATTCAGAAGACAAAAATATCCAAATAAGTCCAAAAACATACCAGCACTAAAAACATACCTAATAACAAGAATTAAAAACATGCTATCCGTTTACTAAAAAGTAAGTTATATCCTGTTGAAATACCTTTGTAGTTTCTGGAGAGTACACACTTAGAATCACAAAGTGGAGAATATTGATCTTAAACACAGGACCATACATCTCTGCCCTGAAAAAATAGAACAGGTTTAAATCATTCTTGACACAAAAATGCATGCATACTGTATATTGGTAAGTGGCTGTTGTTCAGTAAGTAATGACATATGCAAAAAGTATAGCACTGGAAAAACCGGATTGTAACACTTTTGTAACCAAGCAGTTCTCAGCTTTTCAAATGAAGTAGTCATGTCCATATTGATTCACATTTGACAGAGCTGGAGTTGGATAAACTACAAATGTTTACTTGTATACACGCTACATAGTGCTATATACACACTGTGAACTTGTGTGTATTATCTTGATGACATACACACAAAGGACCGCGATTGGCACGCGGACCAGACTTTGGAGGTGCAGGGAAAAAAACACAAAAACTATTTGACTGCGATCCAGACTTTGAGTTTTCTCACCATTCATGAAACTGGTCGTGGATAACCCCATCTTTTTTCATGATATCCAACAATATCGACGAGTGGCCAAAGAGGAAACTGCATTATGAAACCAAGAGTGAAGTAAACACAATGACGCAATGACTTTTGACCAAGATTAAAAGAAAATCCAAAACAGTTAAATTATAGGCTACCTTTTGCGCGGTGGTCCAGGGATGTGGTCATATTTGAGATGCAAATGTTTAATATAAAGGCAATATCCGACGAAGGCGACCAGACAGACGCACGGGAAAATAAGCAGCGCATAACAAAGACAGCTCCAGAGCAGACCCGCGCTCACGATCGCCATGTCTGCAGGAAAAGGCTTGGTGTCCGACACTGTAGTTATGTGTGGCTGTCTTCCGTGTGTCTTTAGCTGCTTTTGGGTTCAAACGCCATGGTTCTCAGCAGATCACGTTGGATTGGGGCTGCGTGAGCTCGGGGGTAAACTCCAGTTCTGGCCGCGCCTGTTTTACGCATGGTTAGAACTTTTGGAGCAGATGGACAATAGACACTTCATAAAGTTTCATAAGCTTTATGTTTTTCCTGTTTCTCCTGTTTCACTTGTTTGTTTTAATTCACAGTCTGTTCAATAACTGCGGTGTGTTCATATCCAAATTCCAAAAGCTGTGTTCCCACTTCCCACAGTTGCAATAAAACAGAATTAATGGCGGCACACAGATAAATTGCATACAAACATCAACACATTTGTTTCATGATTTATTGTGCACACATTCTCAAAGGTATTTGATGATCTGACTCTGTTCAGAAAAGAAGACAACAAAACATGTTCTGACTTGTTGAAATATTTGTAGGTTTTGGGTCTATTCTATTGCCTTATAGGATATAATACATTTTTGGTTCAATAAAAAGTAGATTCAGTACAAGACTGTTAAATAGTGCTATTCTAATTCTGTCTGTGTCGGATGGTACAGGGAACCCCGCTCATGGGCCTCAGCGAGCCTGTGTCCTTGATGGCAAATGTCTGTCCAGGGACTAGGGTGAAGTCGAATCTCTGCAGTAGTTTGGCCATCACCACTTTAGCCTCCATCTGTCAACATGGACACAACATCTCATTTACAACAGTTTCACTACAACAGAAGTGTAATGGGTTAAATGAAAACACTTACTTGAGCAAAGTTCTTTCCGAGACAAGAGCGAGGACCAAGTGCAAAAGGGTAGTAGCAATAGTAAGGCCTGGAAAGGAGAGTCACCAAGTGTTTAAATGTCTGTATTCTTTCTTACATTTATGCAGTATAGTTCAAAAATAGGCTGATTAAATAGCATACAGTACCAACAGTGAGACATGGCTACAGTTACAATTAAAAGCATGGTTGAACATATAAAACACATTGAAAACAATATATCTGTATATGTGACAAAATAATTAGTTCTGTGTAATATAAGAAGTACAAGGTAATGAGAAAGGTGTATTTCTTACTTGGGAGCATCAGGGTGAAATCTGTCAGGATCAAACTTTAAAGGATCTTTGAAGAATGTCTCCAGTCGACCTGTGGTGTAGCTGCTGAACTGAAGAAACAGAGACAAAAACAATAAGTGGCAAAATCCTTACGCTTGTGATGGTGGGAGATAGATGACACTTATTTTAGCTAATTGGAAAGTGAAAACCTACTTAATGTTTTAAAATCCTTGTTTGTAGAGTACATCCTGGACTAGTTAGCACTCCTATATATAAACCACACAAGAAAGAAAGAAAAGAAAGCATATTTGGTCCACATACAGTATAGGCCGCATGTTACGGCCCTGAGCCTACATATTGCTCCCTGTTTTTGTATTTTGTGTGTGCGTGTGTGGCATCCCCTCTTGTGTAAAGATCCCTGGCCTGTGATTGGAGAACCACTGGCCCTCCCGCCTCCCAGACGTCCGTGACACAGGTGCTGATTGGAGGAGCAGCGGTGCACCTGGCCAATCCAGCTTCCCCACCTGGAGTCACTCTGCACTTAAGGCCACACTCCACACCTGTTCGGGGCTGCCAGCCTGTGTGTGGCTGGTATGCCAAGTGTCCTTATGCTGTCTGTCATTGTCACAGTGGTGGCAATGACCTAAAGACGAGGTCCGTATAGCTTTGTTTTGGTTTGTCTCTTTTTATTTGTCACCTTGAGGTTTTGTTTTCGTGACACTTCGCATCAGTTGAGACAACAGTAGGTTTAGTGTTTAGTTCTATGTGTATTAATGTAAAGATTTAGTGTAGGGTTTACTTTGGTAGCGTTGAGTTACCCTGTTATGTCCTGTATTGTGCCCTTTTGATTTGTGTCTACTTATCATTTACTTGCCTTTTATTAAATACTTGCTTTTCCATTGAACATCTTGGTTTTAATTTGTTACCTCCCTCACCCTAGCTGAGCTGGGTCGTAACAAAAGTGGGGGCTCGTCCGGGATCGAAACACCCTATCCCTTAAAAGCGGTGAAAGTAATTGGTATGTATTTGGTAAGTGATTTGGCCCAAATTGATATTCGGTACTTTAATTGGCTTTTGAAATTTAGTGATGTTTTGTAGATTGGGTGGTAGGATGGTGGCTGCTGTTGTGGCGGTCCAGACATTCGCAACCTGCGTTTAGGGCGTGTTTCAGGGGTGATTTGTGTCCGGCCTGATCAACTGTGCCCATTTCATGCCCTGTTCATGTCTTCTCCTCCATTTACACTGGGGTGGAGCCCGGCTCCTAGGATGCCTGGCTCACTCCAAGGGGCTGGAGCAGCTAACGTGGTGGCTTGTGTTCTGGGCCCTGCCCAACCCACCAGGGTTCGTAATCCCACCTCACTACTTTCATCATGTGAGTACTGTAGACTTGGTGAATACAAAACATGGGATGTTTTGTAACTTAAGGGGGAGAGTGTTACGGCCCTGAGCCTACATATTGCTCCCTGTTTTTGTATTTTGTGTGTGCGTGTGTGGCAACCCCTCTTGTGTAAAGATCCCTGGCCTGTGATTGGAGAACCACTGGCCCTCCCGCCTCCCAGACGTCCGTGACACAGGTGCTGATTGGAGGAGCAGCGGTGCACCTGGCCAATCCAGCTTCCCCACCTGGAGTCACTCTGCACTTAAGGCCACACTCCACACCTGTTCGGGGCTGCCAGCCTGTGTGTGGCTGGTATGCCAAGTGTCCTTATGCTGTCTGTCATTGTCACAGTGGTGGCAATGACCTAAAGACGAGTCCGTATAGCTTTGTTTTGGTTTGTCTCTTTTTATTTGTCACCTTGAGGTTTTGTTTTCGTGACACTTCGCATCAGTTGAGACAACAGTAGGTTTAGTGTTTAGTTCTATGTGTATTAATGTAAAGATTTAGTGTAGGGTTTACTTTGGTAGCGTTGAGTTACCCTGTTATGTCCTGTATTGTGCCCTTTTGATTTGTGTCTACTTATCATTTACTTGCCTTTTATTAAATACTTGCTTTTCCATTGAACATCTTGGTTTTAATTTGTTACCTCCCTCACCCTAGCTGAGCTGGGTCGTAACAAAAGTGGGGGCTCGTCCGGGATCGAAACACCCTATCCCTTAAAAGCGGTGAAAGTAATTGGTATGTATTTGGTAAGTGATTTGGCCCAAATTGATATTCGGTACTTTAATTGGCTTTTGAAATTTAGTGATGTTTTGTAGATTGGGTGGTAGGATGGTGGCTGCTGTTGTGGCGGTCCAGACATTCGCAACCTGCGTTTAGGGCGTGTTTCAGGGGTGATTTGTGTCCGGCCTGATCAACTGTGCCCATTTCATGCCCTGTTCATGTCTTCTCCTCCATTTACACTGGGGTGGAGCCCGGCTCCTAGGATGCCTGGCTCACTCCAAGGGGCTGGAGCAGCTAACGTGGTGGCTTGTGTTCTGGGCCCTGCCCAACCCACCAGGGTTCGTAATCCCACCTCACTACTTTCATCATGTGAGTACTGTAGACTTGGTGAATACAAAACATGGGATGTTTTGTAACTTAAGGGGGAGAGTGTTACGGCCCTGAGCCTACATATTGCTCCCTGTTTTTGTATTTTGTGTGTGCGTGTGTGGCAACCCCTCTTGTGTAAAGATCCCTGGCCTGTGATTGGAGAACCACTGGCCCTCCCGCCTCCCAGACGTCCGTGACACAGGTGCTGATTGGAGGAGCAGCGGTGCACCTGGCCAATCCAGCTTCCCCACCTGGAGTCACTCTGCACTTAAGGCCACACTCCACACCTGTTCGGGGCTGCCAGCCTGTGTGTGGCTGGTATGCCAAGTGTCCTTATGCTGTCTGTCATTGTCACAGTGGTGGCAATGACCTAAAGACGAGTCCGTATAGCTTTGTTTTGGTTTGTCTCTTTTTATTTGTCACCTTGAGGTTTTGTTTTCGTGACACTTCGCATCAGTTGAGACAACAGTAGGTTTAGTGTTTAGTTCTATGTGTATTAATGTAAAGATTTAGTGTAGGGTTTACTTTGGTAGCGTTGAGTTACCCTGTTATGTCCTGTATTGTGCCCTTTTGATTTGTGTCTACTTATCATTTACTTGCCTTTTATTAAATACTTGCTTTTCCATTGAACATCTTGGTTTTAATTTGTTACCTCCCTCACCCTAGCTGAGCTGGGTCGTAACAAATATATAAGTCGTAATCTAATACTTTAAAAACAGTTGACAGAGCTATGTCTGTGGCGGCGCTCTAACAATATAGAAATACATACACTGGCTGCGTCACTATATAGACTGCAGAGTTAAAATAACTTGAAAGAAGTAGCAGCTTATAGTCCTGTAAGTACTGTGTTATCTTGCTGTTGTGTCAAACTCTCAATTTGACATTAAAATGATTTGAATGCAAAATAATTTATTGTATAGAATATATATGGATATATTCAAGCCTTTAGTTAGAGGGCCCATATCACGGTTTTTGACTTTTCTCTGCTTTAAACATGATTACAATGCTATTTGGCCTTCATACACAAGCCCACAGTAGTTTATTCATTGATTCTGTCAATCTTTTGTAAGAGAGCGATCTGTCTCCTTCCCCAGCGTGAGGCACAGAAACGCTCGGGTCCACTTCAGTGACAAAAACCACACTGATGACGCGCATGACCTCGTTTGCTTTGTATTTAAAATAGTTGTTAAATACTTTTGTCAAAACGGGGTAAACAATACACAATTAGTATGCTGTTTTTTGTCAAAAATAATAAAAATAAAAATAAATTAAAAGCCGGCGGGAGGTGATTGACGGATCAAAACAGCGAATCAGAGCGCACAGGCTCCGGCTCCCGAGTCCAGCGTCTGTGGTCTGGTCTCGCGGACACCACATAGAGCTGCTGTTTTTATGCTTTTGTCAGCAACTAAAAGTGTTAGGATCACGTCAACTTGAATGAAGTGTGTTATGGGTGTAAATATGTGACACACTATTTGGCCCTAAGAGGAAGAAAGCGGCTCAACTTTTTTCATCTGTTCATCTCATGGATCTATTATAAACCGGTTCATCTGCGACACTTCACTGAGACTGTTCCAGAACTACAGGGACAATGGAACTGGACTTACTCAAAAGCTGATCTGGAAACACGTTATTCCCACGGTAAAAGACGTAACTCGGACCCCCTCGATCTGTAAGTAGTGACGCTAACTCGCTGTATACTTCTGTAAACTAAATAACTAGGGTCTGATTGTGCATCGAGGACATAGGGCTCGATGTGACGGATTGTCATTGTTGGAAAAAGTTTATTCTTATGTATGAAATTACTAAGTACAGGTGATAAACGACAAAAGCGTGATGCTACGTCACCGTGCGGGCGGGGGGAGGCGGGCTCACAGGCAGAGGAGCAGACTCTTCTCTGGATCAGCTCGTTTGAGTCGAGGTGACGTCACCTCTATACAAGAGATGGCTCTAATCTCACAAGCTTTGATTGTTGTGTGGTGTATCATACACATTAATATCACACATGTGTATAGGATTGAGTGTGAAACATGAAGAAAAGCGTGATATAGGACCTTTAAGGGTCAGGATGAGCTAACACTGCCATCTGGAGGTAGACGTCAGAAATGCGTCACAGTGGGATACAGTGCTACACAGAAAAAGGCTGCACGAATTGTATTGAATTGTTGCAACAATTGAAAAGTGCAGTGGTGTTTGTACGTTTTGGTTTGATTCAACAATAGAAATATTTATTTAATGGACACAGAAATTGTTCATAAGTCATACTTCTTGTTGCTCATTTAGTTACTTTCTCAATTTTAAGAGTATTCAATATTATTACTGATGACCCACCGATCCTAAAAGTCAAGAGGCACAATATTCAGAAACTATTCATGAAGTCAGTGTTATTGTATAGTATAGAGACGGTTTTATTTACCTGCCGTGCCGCACCTGCATCCCGGTATACACAACCGGTGACTGGCTTGTGTGAGAGCATGCAAAGGCTCATGGGAGTTTATTTTGTGGAAAACTACACAAATGATTCGCGAGAGAAGCCATTATATTAAATTTATGGAGTTAACCCTAAACCTATACAGTTACCCTAGAGTTTTTTTTTTATTATTGAGATTAATGCCTGGAAGTTGCCAAAAAAAAAAAAGCTTGCATGCAGTAGCCGATGTCTCACCATACAGGTTGCCCCTGCAGGTATGTGGATGCCAGAAATGACTTCGTCCTCCAGCAGATCCCGGGACGTCCCAGGAGCGGTCGGGTACAGCCTCAGGGTCTCTTGTAGCACCTGTAACAAAGTATATTCATTTTATTAAGCAAACAGTTAAAACACACTTATTTCAACTAAGATAATGATAATGTACTATTTGAATGTGTTACGATGTCAAAGCAATATGAGTTAAATTACGGAACTAACTTGATGATGGAGTGAAATCATGGACATCCTTAGAAATGCATTTCAGTGTGAGGTAACAGTTATTTTCTTTTGAAGTTGATCATTTATGTCCAATGATTAAATATTCATCATAATTCCAATCCTGGTCTGAATTTTGCAGCTAGTGTTACCTGTGAGAGATAATTCAACTTTCCCAGATCCTCGTTGTTGATTTCTCTCTTCATTCCGATGACTTCATCCACCTCTTTTCTCACTCTGGGGAATAATGAAAAGGAAAAGTACCATTTTATTATATTTTCTTACACTATAGTCTATATAAAAGTAATGTATTAGTTTAGTATGTCTAATTGATATAATATGAATCTTGTTTGTATCCACTGGTAACGATTTCATTTATGGACATCCTGTTTTCCTGTGGACCACTGAATATTGGGTGTTTTAGTGTTGTATTCCTGTTTCATTTTCTAAATCTGCAATTGGCCAAACAACTATTCCTTGACGGTTTTTGAGATGACTGCTATTTTGATTTTGGTCTATAAAAAAAAAAAAAGAAAACATTCAGTCAAAGCCAAAGAACCGCACTTTTTGTTAGCTTCACATACAATATACAATATAATTTTCCCAAAGTGTTAATATTGTTTTTATTATTATGATTATGATTATGATTATGATTATTATTATTATTATTATTATTATTGTTATTATTATGAGAGAATGGCACCTTTGCTCTGGCTTGGTCCGTGGCCAGTGAAATGGATATAGTTTTGTTTTTGTCCTGGTTTAACACTACTTTAGCCTGGAGGCCCATTCAGAAGTTTGATCCATAGTTTAGTAACAGTAAGTTTGAATTTAAGTGAATTTTGGAATAATAGTTGTTAACAATGTTACTACTTCTCTTTTGTTCTTCTTACTTCTGTAAAAGCTCCGGGTGTCTTCCCAGTTCCATCATACAAAAGGCCATTTGATTGGCTGTGGTTTCCTGGCCTGTAATGACATGAAGGCTGTATTCATTCATAGATTATTTTCAGCCACGTTTGAGAACTGAGCAAAGCAAAAGGTTCTCACCAGCGATAAAGAAAGTCACAAAGTTGTCCAACATCAGCTCCTCATCCTCTTTGGTCATGCTTTCCTCTGAAACATTGATACATGAATTTATATAGAAACAAAAATATTATTACTTTAAAAAGATTATTGAATATACTTATTCAAACACATATAGTACGTCCTAGTATTATGACACATTTTGAGAGAAATGGGTTAAGAACTAAACTAATACTAAAAGAATTTCCATTTTGAGAAAGAGGCTGCATTACTTGATTTTTGCATTCCCCAAAACTGGTTTACCTGTTTTCAACCCACAAATTCTTGGCTCCAAAAAGACGTAAATGACACAAACAGAACTCCCCAAACTTAAATTGTATTAAAAACCACTAATTTGACATAAAATCATTGAAATAAATAGTAAATAATAAAAAATGTTTATTGAACATGTGAATAAAAATAATAATCTTCAGCCATTTTGCATCATAACTTGTTTTTTATTGCCATTTTCACTTGTCAACTTTTGCACTTGAGATAAAATAATTATTTAGTGAATACAGCATTTGGTAGACTCAAAAACCATTGGCCATTCAATCGACATTGTAACTAATTTTGACAGCCCTAGGTGAAACTACTAAGAATCTAACCTCAGCCAATCAGCTCTTGGAGCACAAATTCAATATATTCTCACACACTTCCTAAAGATGAAATGCAACTAAGATAAAGACTTGTTTCTGATCAAGTTTGGGCACTTTTTTTGCGGTAAGACATAAAATGATATATGACCACAAAGAGCTGGGGCTGGATTGCTGATAATATGTAGATGTTGTATTGTTTTGAATTGTTTTGTTTGTTTGCAGTGGACATAGTGTGTTATGGTTCTTTGGTTCTTACCTTGTCCTGCTGATTTAATGATTTGTGTAAGGATGTCTTTGGGAATGTCCTCTCCGTTGTGCATGGCGGCTTTCCTGGCGTTGATCCACTGAGCTCCAGTCTCCCGCAGAAGACGACAGGCTTTCCTCACTTCATCAATGAACGGCCAATTCTTAGGGAAGTACTGTAAACGCATGGAATTAACCATTCAAATAAACAGCACTGCTATTGTCACTTTTTTATTGTACATAATATATCCTGCACAAGCTATATTTTGTATGTTTGCACACTTCTGTCTTTTGCACAATCTGAGAGATTCTATCCTTGCCAAATGTGACATGTAGATTTCTCCAGTGTGAGATCAATAAAGTGTATCTTATTGTATCTTAACCGTTATTCTTCTCCTTACTGTATGTGTTGGGGCAGGCTCAAAAATCTCCCGGCGGATTGCTGCGTCGGTTAATTTCAGTGCTCAAATCTGAATGTGCAGGTTGGTGGAGATAATACTGCAGTGACTGTTTCAGAAATGTAAGATAAAGGACTAAGGAGAGTTTTAAAATATTTTTGTTGTTGAGTAAAGTTCTGTAATTTGTTTGTAAATGAATCTGGTTTGTTCTTTATAAAGACCATTCTCCTACTGTATGATAAAATTGAACTAAATTTGACTTGAATACTTTTCCAATCAACGTTCTTAGCCTGGAGTAAATGATTTTCTCTGCTCTGCTTTTTCTTCAACAGATGTCTCCACTTTGGACACTATTCTGAAGAAAGAAATGATGTCTTGTCTTGAAATATAGTTTCTCCATTCCCACTTCTTCTCCAAGAGTTCCCAAGAGTTCTCTTAGCGACATTACAGGAAAGCTCTAAAGGCTATGGTTGTTTCTACACTGATGTAATCTAATGTAAATGCAGATTCTTTCTGGGCCACAGAATCTGCCACCTTGTTTCCTGCGCTGCTACCCACATGACAGCTGCCGTCAGACCTATTTCTTCGGCTATTCTACGACATTCCGAATTGCATAGACAAAATCTGTCCGACCAAGCAGGGCTGCAAACAAGGGAGCAAAGGCTTAATCCGAACAAATCATAGAATATTGTAGTCTAAATTTGTTTTTATTCTGATATTTGATCTGAGTTCCTTCCCCTTTTTTCACACTGGTGTTGTAATAACAGTATGTCAAATGTTTTCTTAATATTTTCACTGTTTTTACAGCTTTGTATTTTTTGATGTAGACATTTGCATCTGTTTTTATCTATATATGGAAGATGTTTTGTGTCATCAGATTTAGAATTTTAAATGAGCTGAATGTTTAACTATGAAAATATTCAAAATATTCAATATGTTTATTTTCGAGCCAAAAACTCAAAACACTGAAATTATTTGTTCCATCAGAAATTGAATTTTAAATGGACCTGAATCCATTTATTAGAATTTTTTAACATCTTGAATATTTGTAAAAATTCAAGCTCATTTAAAATTTGAAATCTGATGACAAAAAAAAAAAATCTTCCATATCTTTACCAAAATATGTGTTATTATTATTATTATTATTTATTAAGTGGAGTTAGAGTTGGACATTAAACATACCGCAAAGGTTACGTCTCGGACAACGTGGACCATTCCCCTCATACACATCTCGATGGCTTTGGGGAAAGGTGAAGTGTATTTGACCAGGTCCAAATCAGCGCCAAACGCAACCTGTGAACAAGATCAACAAATGGTTATATCCCAGTGGTTTGGAAATACTTTATTATTTTGTGATCAGTTTTTTTGTGTTTCACTGTAAACAGAAATGACCAAAGTTACAAATCAGGGCACACATGCTTTACTTCATGATAAAGGGTGATGAAGGTACATATAATAGTCATCATAACTCATATTCATGTATTGTTAAAGTAGCAATATGTAAGATTGTCAAGTCATCCTTAAATGGCCCTAATCTGTCAAAAGGCATTAACAAACCGCTCTTTTCGAGTACTTCTTTAACTGATAACAGTAATTCAGCCGAGATATTTGAATTTCCAAATTAGTTTTACAACCCCTAAATCTTCTTATTGTTTTCATTTTGATGTCCCGCCCTCCATCGTTTTACCAATCAGAAAGTCCGTGATCCGGGTTGCCAGAACTCATCCTGTAGAGCTAATCTCACCGGTAAAGTAACATGTGGCCGCAGAACTAAACATGATCTCGATATGATTCTCAAATCACTAATTTCTATTGTGGCCTTTGTGAAAATGGTGTTGTTTATAGATTTGTTGTTGTCAAAACTGTTGTCTATTCAACTATTGTGGGCCCAGCTGGATTCGTCTGCATATCTAGCAACCTCAGGAAGAATGCAGTGCCACTTTTTACCAAATTTTAACATACTACTCCTTTTAAAAACTGATATTTTTCATCGGGTATGCAAGTTTAGTTAATAAATTGGACTATACGTTTTTAGTGATCTTTTGCATTTGCTTTATGACGAGAGTGGGCTTGCCGCTCCACAAACTAGACATGATGGATATATAAGCAACGTGGGGAGATTTTCACACAAAGCATTAACCATTGCAACAAGCAGAAAAGCAGATCTAGTCAGAAAGTTGTGATGATGCACCTTTAACCCTTTAATTTTCACTCCTTGAAGAAAGCTAATGTTTTCTTGTTTATAACATGGAAATAAATCCAATCAATCAAACCTTAGCAATAATGTCCAGTGCCACGTAGTTGAACAAGCTAAGCATATTGGCTTCTGTGCCGTTGTCAGCCTGCTCCGTCAGCTTGTCCATCAGCTTCTCCGCTCTCTCGTTAAAAGTGCCGGTAAGACCTCTCAGATATCTGCATTTGAACAGGAGCATACATGATGGAACATAAAAACTCTAAAAAATATATATAAATACATTTGAAAACTCACAAGCTGCTGAAGGCCGGGTCCATAATGCGTCTCTGTTTGTACCACTGCTCATGGTTTCGAGCCGTCACCAGGCCGTTCCCTAAAAACCTTCCCACACCGAACACAAAGTAAGATTATAGCGTAAATAATCAAGAAAAGTACAGATGCTATATTGACTTACCTTTGACCAAACAGGTTGAATAGACGTGTGTAGAGGAATTTATCTTTGGGGTGTTTTGAAGACATTAGGATTTCCTGAAAAAAGTGGAAGTTAGTCCGGACAAGCAAACTATCAAAAAAAAAGGTTAAGCCTAAGTAAGTTATTAGGTTTTTCTTGTATAATTAAACTACTGTATGTTCCCAGCTGCCAGGAATACACTATGCATACATTATTTAAGAAAACAGTCCAAGAGGGGTAGACCCAGGTCTCTTTGCTGACCTGGGAACGCCTCAGGATTCTTCTGGATGAACTACAGAGGAAGTGCACATGAAACGGAAAGTATGGACTGCTGCCTTTGTGAACCGGCAATGGATAAAGCGGAAGACAATGGATGGATGGATGAATGAGTCTTACTTTTGTAGCATGTGGGCAGGATACACCAATGATCACATAATGTAGAAAGTTGATCTTATAAACTGGCCCATACGTCTCTGCCCTATAGAATAAAACAGCCATTAACCTTTTTAATAATAATAATAATAATAATGCATAAAACTCACACTCAAAGACGCTTTACAAAACACATAGAAATAAACCTTGAAAAACAAAATTAAGGAAAGGCAAGATGAAGCAGGTGGGTTTTTATGAGAGATTTAAAGTTCTGTAGTGAGTCTGAGTTTCTGATTGGATCATGAAAAAACACTCATTTAACTTTATAAGCCTTCCACTTGAAATGGTACACGTCAAATGTTAACTTAACTCATTCACTGCCATTGACGTCTATAGACGTCAATCTAATCGTTTTTTTTTTGTTTTTTTTTCTTTCTATGGCTCGTCAAGGCTCTTGTGCATCCTGTGTCAACATTTCAGACCTGTAAACACTTTGGAACCGATCCTGTAGGGGGCAGAGGTGACACTGTGGCCAGATCCAGGGAGGGAGAAGGGGGCATGTGGTGCTGTGAGCAGCAAACAGCCAGAGGAGCAGCCATGCTTACACAGAGGATCGCGGATCTGAAAAGCTCACGCAGCTAATGCTGTTTGAGAGCCTGTTCAGTCATCAAACGGATAAATATGAAGCAGCTAGATGCCACGATGCTAGTTCTTCAGGTTTTAGTTAACATGAGACTCCAGGATCCTCGGAGCCTTCTCCCTCCCTCCTCGTCCAGCAGCAGCGGCAGCGGCTCCTCCCCCCGTCGTAATCTGGTGAGTTGCTTTTCACTTCAACATGTTGCATTTACGAGTTTCTTTCTCCCCTTTGTCTAATGTACTATCAGCCCCTCCAGGATTTGCGCGCAATTGTTGATTGATGAATGATTATTGCGGGGTAAAATACTTGATTACGCGGGACATTTTTCCAAAAGTTTCCCTCTTGAGTTTGGAGGCGTGTGAATCTGGCATGCAGCATTAGCTGCCAGGGAGCTATGGATGATGTTACCGTGTGGTTTATAGAAGGGACAGGGGGAGGTGATCCATGGCAGACCGATGAGCAACAAGTGTTAGATTTACCGCACTATGTTGTGCATTCTGCTGTGGTGCATCTCACTGTGGAGGGTGCGTCAGGAGCGCGCCCGCTGCTGCTTTGGAACAGGGAGAGAGACTCTCTCTGTTGCTCTGATCCCAGAGTCTGCGTGATTTTGCGTTCAAACATTGAGAGATTCTGGACGGAGTGATAGCAATCACTGGCTTATACTATAGTAAAAATAAACATAAAGTAACGTTTTTAGCGAATATTGAAGAGTTTTTTTTTATCTCAATGTCATAGCTGCTGAAGCCAAAACACTTGTTATAATGTAAAAATGTATGGTGATTTTATATTTTCCTTTGTGTCGTAGATTGTTGACCCCAGGACCCCAAAATGCTGCAGCAGAGCTTGATTTGGATCAGCAGCTGACTTATGCAGCTCTTCATAACTGATGAACTTCTGGATCCTGGATCTTGTTGTCAAACAGACAAAGCTGTATGCAGCACAATATTTCAGTGCACACACACAGCGTTTCCCATTCAGCAGAGAAAATGCATGGAAGCCCGTGACAGACTGCAGCTAAAAACCTTTTTTGGTTTGACATTTCTCTCTGGGTTTGTAAAAAAAAAAACTAATCTGGAAATGTATTGGGAGTGTGGAGGAAGTAGATTCCACACTTCAGCAGAGTGTGGGGTCACCCAATTACTATTCTTTATAAACTAAAGTAAAATTGTTTCACAAAGTGTTCAGAAAGTGTTATTTTTACTGTATATTTGTGTACAAAGTGTTTTTATTGTATACAAGTTGAATATTTTATGTGTACATAAGACAATCCTTTGAGTGTATTGTGTGTACACGTTTAATTTGTTTAAAAATAATTATACATTAAAAATACAATTCAAAGTATTGTTTCTGTTTTGTGTCATAGTAAGAAACTGTCATACATTGTAAAATATCAGTGAAGACAAAAAAAACCCACTTTTCTGCTTGAAAATGCGCGTTTCACAAAAAGGCTGTTTTCTCCAAATCTTGGTCAGGAAACAGCATTTTGTGTGAAAGTTACCTATGTTGCACTCTCAATTGCTAAAAAACTAAAAGGGTTAGAAACTTACTTTTTTTTTAAAAATGAAAGCCAAGGGATAGAGCTTTCATTTGGTATGTTTCATACTTGTGTCAACTAAGGGCTCACATTTCTATGCGGTTCGGAAAAACACTAAAAATGTCCAAAATCTCTGGCAGTATGAGGGATGCTGCTTTTTAAATGGCTGGCAGTGAATGAGTTAAAGGTGAATTGCGCAGGTGTCAATTTTGAAAAGGAAATTAACCCAAAATGCATGACTGCTTCACAGTAATTGAAACATATACAGAACTGAACCAACTGAGGATATTGCGAAAGTGCACCTTTAACCCATTGGGCAGCACGGTGGGCGAGTGGCTGAGTGAAAAGCACCCTCACTCAATCAGAAGGTACTGGGTTCGAGTCCCATCTACCGAGAGGCAAGTTGTCATCTGATTTATGAGCCCCTCCTCCAAACAAACCTGGTTTCTTAATCAATAATAATTTTCCAAAACAATTCTCACCATTCACGGAACTTGTCATGAACGAGTTCATCTTTTTTCATCACGTCCAAAAAGATTGGAGAATGTCCAAGGATAAAACTTAAGAGGACAAACGTAAGTGTAACTTGCATAATCATTACGCATGCATTTTGAATGACATCACACCGCCTTACCTGGGTCGTGGAGGTCCGGGTATGTGGTCATATTTGAGGTGCAAGTATTTGATATAAAGACAATATCCAAGAAACGCGAGCAAAACGACGCACAGAGGCAGGAGCAGAGGGAGGCCGCCCCACAGCGCGTTCAGGATCGCCATGGAGAAGAGCTTTGTGGCAAAACTCTGGGGATCTATTGAACTGCTTCAGACCTCAGGCGCGCTGGATCCACAACTTCCGCGTTTCTACAGTTGCATAATATCAGACTGCCAGAGCTGCGGTTCACACGGGACAGGAGCCAGATGCATGGTCTGTTGATCCCATAGACTGATCCGCAGTGAAGGAGGAGCGCACTGGCCAAAAGGAACACTTCGTGCACGAGTTTTTACAAGGCACTCTTTCCTAAAATCAGATAGGAATCTTTGCAGTGTAGTATTTTAATATATGAATAGGCCTATTTTATTTATTTAGATACGTGCAGGGACCATAGACTGTATATAACAGGGACATAATCTATGACTGAGACGTTAGTAGTCTCAGAAGTTAGTTGTTCTTTAACCCTTTGCTCGCCTTCGTGCTTGTGGCTCGTAGAGAATCCTCGAGAAACTTTCTGGAGCTTCACCAGCGCAGCTCGAAGTGTGTTGCCAACTCCTCAGTAAGGAAAGTAGCTATTGGCTGTCCCAAAAGTCGCTAGAAGTCGCTAAATGACGTCATCGCCTAATTTGCATAATTGGCTATTTGCAAATAACTGTAACGGACGCTGTAGGAGAGAGGAATAACGTCGTGGGAGAGACAAAAGTGAGTAAAAAACACCCTAAATATGTTTAGAACTACAAATGTACAAAAATAATTTCAACATTAACAACATTTAATGATTTTAATGCTTTGTCTAGATCTGTCGCTAGTCGCTTTTTTGAAAAAAAGTCGCTATACATAGTTCCCATGTGACGTCACCGCTACCGGCCTGTCATTGCGTCCACCATTTTGCAGGGCAAAGTACGCGGCTGCTGCTGCTGCTGTGAACATTGAGACAGATCATTTTCAGGGCTCTTTTTTTTTTACCAAAATGGTTTGTTCGTGTTGGGTACCTGGATGTACTAACAGAGCAAATGGGACTGATAAAGTAGGCTTCTATTCTATCCCAAGTGTCCGAGTGCATGAGGGAGATTTCACTAAATCACTGAGTGAGGAACGCCGACGACTGTGGTTAGCTAGTGTCAACAGGAAGGATGAACCTACGAAATTCTCGAAAATCTGCTCCAGTCACTTCATCACAGGTAGAGCAGTTGTATTCTCAACATATTTTCAATGTAATCAAGTATGTTTTTGTTTATAAGTGTGCACGTTGCTTTAGTTTGTCCCTAGCTATGCTACAGTACATGCTAAACCTAATGTCTGGGCAAACAGCTGCTTGAAGAAACTGATGACATGCTGTTTCTGAACTAGGGCTTTGACTTATGCACAAAAATCATTTTCGAAGTTTGTTTGTTCATTAATTTAGATATTCGAATATATACTAATATATTTAATTATAATTTACAAAAACACAAGTGCAAGGAGCTTTCATTGTCTTTTCAGGGAAGCTAGCAGAGCTTGGTAGTATTTGAATCGTGTCATATATTATGACTTTGAATTGATGTAATATTTCCACATTTCTTCTTTTCTGATTCTCAGGTCACCCTTCTAGCATGTATGAACGATCCAACCCAGATTGGGCACCAACATTGAAGCTTGGGGAAATGCTGACCCCTACCAAATCCCAAAAAAAACAAGCGGAGATTGAGACTAAACAAAAAAGGTATACACGATACATCCTCTTACTTGAAATACCCCTTGATGAAGGTACTTGTTTTGAAAGTCTAAATAAAAGCATTAACCATTTATGGTTCTTATATTTATTCAAACAGATTTCAGAGAGTGATGAAAAGACAAGAAACAAAAGAGAAGCACCATGCTGCAAGATGTCTTCTTGAACTCCATGACAATTTTCAACATGAGGACCCCATTCCACCAGAGGAACCAGATTGTCACAAAAGTCTAGCAGACACCAGCAATGACAGCGAAGCATCTAACCACTCCATCCCGCAAGTTACTCAAAGTCAAGTAGAGAGTGAAAATCAAAGACTCTTATCAGAAAACATGATGTTACGGGCAGAACTAGAATCTCTGAAATTAACACAGAATAGCTTTCAAGATAACAATGAGAAAGTAAAATACTACACTGGACTGCCAAACTTTGAAACGCTTATGCTACTTTTCAACATTGTTTCACCCTTCCTCTGCAAAAAGAATATGCGCATAGGTGTGTTTGAAAGACTGCTGATGACGCTGATGAGACTGAAGTTGAATCTTCCAGTAAAAGACTTGGCATACAGATTCAATACATCAACATCGACCGTTTCAAGAACATTAATTGTTATACATATATTGTTTGTTCGGTTAGGATTTTTGATATATTGGCCAGAAAGAGAAGAACTGAGAAAGACAATGCCTATGGAATTTCAGACTTACTTTTCAAAGAAAACTGCAGTAATAATTGATTGTTTTGAAATATTTATTCAAAGACCAACAGGACTAATGGCCCGAGCTCAAACATGGAGCAACTATAAACACCACAATACTGTTAAGTACCTAATAGGCATCACACCTCAAGGTTCAATATCATTCATTTCGGATAGTTGGGGAGGAAGAGCCTCCGATAAGTTCATAACAGAAGAGTGTGGAATATTGAACAAGCTGTTACCAGGAGATCTGGTTTTAGCCGACCGTGGATTTGACATTTCAGAAAGTGTTGGTTTCCACTGTGCAGAAATAAATGTTCCAGCGTTTACACGTGGGAAACCTCAGCTATCAGCAACAGACGTTGAGACTACACGAAGAATCGCCCATGTTAGAATTCATGTGGAGAGGGTGATAGGACTTGTTAGAAATAAGTACACAATTTTGCAAGGCAAGCTGCCTATTGACTATTTGATGAGTGAAGAGGGGGGTGTGCCAGCAATCGATAAAATTACAACAGTTTGTTGTGCATTAACCAACATGTGTGAGTCTGTGGTTAGTTTTGATTAAGTATTGCATAGAACTATGCTGTGTGGAATTATGCTTAACCAAATGTCACTGTCACTTTACTGAGTCACTGTGTCCCAGAGCCTCATGCTGCTAATGTATAGATGTAAAGATACTGCTGCAAATGTACAGATGCTAACATAGAACTACATATTGCTGGCACTAGAATACACATGCCTCTTATTTTGCCAAATGTAAAACTTTTACACTTATTTTTATTTAAGATAGATTTTATACTTGTTATTTATGGGAGTTAAAGAATGTTTTATTTTAATTAGTATAGCTATTGTTCACTCATCTTTTACAGTGTGCTACTCTTTCCTACTGTTCCATAACTTGTGATGCAACACAAATTTCCCCGTTGTGGGTCAAATAAATGTTCTCTGAAACATACTTCTTTTCTTTTCACTTTATTACCACATCACTTTTGTACAAGTGGGACAATAGTATGGAGGTTTGGGATTCCTCTTAATGCCAACACATTTGAAATGGAGAAAACCATACTGACATTTTTCATTGGCACACTTCACTGTATTACTCGTATATGTTTCTGACCGTTCACCACAAACACAACGGAGTGCACTGCATGTAGTGCTGCCATCTTCAGCTGCTGACTGACTCCGAGTCTGTTGGGGTGCAGTACTGATAACCGGTATCCCATCAGGACTGGCACTGTTGTTGAACAAAGTGTTTGATTGTTGTTTGTGCAGCCTTTCCCTAGTAAGAAGGCTTCCTGTCATCTCTGGGAGGACGACAGATAAGAAGAAGTCCTCGGACTTTTTCAAGATTTCTTCTTCCAGGGCTTGATCTGGCTCGATCCTCTGGATGAACATTCCAGTCGGACTCCACACAACAAAGTCACAGTAGGCTTTCTGCGTAACAGTTAACTGCGTCTGAATTTGATACTTGTACTTGTGTTTGTCTATCAAGTGTCCCTCCTTGATATAATCCACACTTGATAGACCTTTCTCTTTTGCTGTGTAGGGGCATTTTACTTCGACAAGACCCACACCGCAGCAGTCACACTGTACAATTCCATCAGGAGTGGCACCAACATGTGAATATCTGCCATTTAGAAAGAGTCCACACTTTTTCACAAAAAAAAGTTCATGCTGTTGCACTTAAAGCAATACACATTTTCTCTGTGTATGCACTTAAAGCAATACCTTCATGTAATCCTACCTAATCTAAAGTGGAACCGCTCTTTACACTTATTTTGTTCTCGTGTCAGTCGTTCCACATTCACGGCTTGCTCTGGGGTGACAGTTACATCCTTTAAAATTGTCAAACAATGCTGTCTTAGGAGTTCTGGTTCCATTTCAAGATACTTATCATCTCGCAGATTAGAAAGTGGCTGAGGCAGATTCCCGTCTTGGAGAATCTTTGGGACATATTGGTCTTGAAATCCACTGGACACAGTCAGTACAGATGCTTTTGTCACGCGATGCAAGTCGTGCAATATTTCAAGTCTGTCTGCAGCTGATGGTCTCGGGACATCAGGAAGTTTTCTGGGATGACCGCTGTTGAATAGGCTCACCTGCAATGAGGATGAAATATGTTTACTTATTGTCTGCTGTTCCCAACAACAGTATTGGAGTTATACAAGTAGTAAGTGCACATTTATCCCATAAGCAAGACAATAAAGTAAGTCTTATGTCATTATTTGAATGTATATCTAATTTAGAATTCCAAAAATATATATAATTCATTCATTACACAAAGCAGCCTTCTATTCCAGGGTATCTCAAACTGGGTACGCATTACCCCTAGTGGAACGCGCGCCTCAAGGGTACGCCAAAGAATGCTGTGACAAAAAAAAAAAATCTGTGAATTTGTTTTTTTTTTTTTGTCCTCAAATGACATGGATGTCATTTAGGACAACATTGTTTTTCAATCTTTGTGCTGACCAGTGCTGTTGTCCCCTGTAACATACAGTCTGGGGTTTTATTGGCTGTAAGCAGTATTTTATTAGGCCAGCAGGTGGCAGCAGAACCTCCCAGGTTTGGTCAAGATCACTCTGAGCCACTCTAAGCAGGAGAGACAGAGGTGAAGCAGACAGGGAGTAATATAGTCAGGTCAGGCTACCATTTGGAGG